AATGATGGGCAATGTTAAAGTCTATCGCAACCTCTGGGTTCAACCGTCATTTTTCGAAGCTTCTGACACAGAACAGCATACGTTGCGTTCAGATCAAAGCACGCATACGTTGTTTACATTTAGATCATAGAATGCGCATGCGTCGTGAATGATACTCTCCAAAATGGCGAATTGTTGAATAAAAGTTGTTATTTTTATTTTCTTTGCGCACAAAAAGTATTCTCATAGCTTCGAAAAAACGGTTGAACCCCTGATGTCACATGGACTATTTTATCGATGTCCTTGCTACGTTTCTGTGCGTTGACCGTGGTAGTACCCTTGCTATCTATGCAGAGTCAGAGAGCTCTCGGATTTCATCAAAAATATCTAAATTTGTGTTCCGAAGATGAACGAAGGTCTTACAGGTTTGGAACGACATGAGGGTGAGTAATTAATGACAGAATTTTCATTTTTGGGAGAACTATCCCTTTAAGCTGAGCAGCTGGAATGGGGATAAATGTGAATTTTCTGTATATATTTGAGGAAAAGTCTGTCTGGCGCACCTGTATTCTCATGACGGTGAAGTCTGGCACAGGAGGGTCGTAGAGGTAGACGCAGGGGTCGGCGTTGTCCCGCACGCAGGGGAAGATTTTGGCACTGACTGGAGCCGGGCTGTAATTCAACATCTCACACAGCGTGTCCACGTCAATGTATTTGGGAGTCAGTCCGGCACGTACGGTGTTATCAGAGCACGCCATACACTCCACACAGTCTGGAGGAGCCAGTCAATTATACATGGAATACATGAAGATTAAATATTGCATATTAATAAATAACCTATATGGAATTAATGAATATTAAATGAACATTAATGGATATTTTTTACAAAAACAACAATACAACCTACATGGAACAACTGAATATTAATGAATATATTTCACAAAAAGTACAACTATGAAACCTCCATGGAATAAATTAATATTAAATGAATACTACAAATTACCAAGTGAATATTAGTGAATATATTTCACAAAAAGTACAACTATACAACCTAGATGGAATAAATGAATATTAAATCAATATTATGGATTAATAAATGAATATGAATATTTTTTAAACAAAACAAACATGAATAAATTAATATTAACACATATTTTTCATACAAAAAACTATCCAACCTAAATGGAACATTTGAATATTAATGAATATTAAATAAATATGATGTATTATTAAGTGAATATTTATGACTATATTGCACCAAAAATATCAACTATGCAACCTACATGGAATACATGAATATTAAAAGAATATTACAGATTATTACGTGAATATTAATAAATATATTTCACAATAAATAACAACTATGCAACATACATGGAATAAATGAATATTAAATGAAGATAAATGAATATATTTTTAAAAAATTACAATTACAGATTTTTTTTATTATAAATTTTTTTCCAGACTCTACAAAAATATACTGTGAAATATACTGTGAAAAAATATACTTATCATGGTACATGTCCAAAACATGTATTATTTTTCACACAAAAAAAACTATACTACTTAAATGGAACATTTGAATATTAATGAATATTAAATAAATATTATTTATTATTAAGTGAATATTAATGATTATATTTCACAAAAAATACAACTACACAACCTACATTGATTAAATTAATATTAATGAATATAAAATAAATGACTTATTATTAAATAAATATTAATGAATATATTGCACAAAAAACAACAACTATGCAACCTACATGGAATAAATGAATATTAAATGATTATAATGGGCTAATAAGTGAATATAAATAAATATACTTCACAAAAAGTACAACTACACATCCTGCATGAAATAAATAAATATTAAGGAATATATGGATTATTAGTGAATATATTTTAAATTAGTACAACTAACACAACCCACATGGAATAATTGAATATTAAATGAAGATTCATTAATATATTTCACAAAAATTACAACTACACAACCTACTCTTAAGCAGCAACCACAAAACTTTGTCTATTTAGATTTTTTATTTTTTTTTTTTTTCAGACTCTACAAAAATATACCATGGTATTATCATGGTACATGGCCCAAAACGTGTTTTATTAGTATTGTGGTGACCTCTGACCTCCAGACAGATAAGCATGAGGCTCATTTGCTCCCAGGAACATGGCCTCCCCCGGCTGCAGCACGATACGGTTCAGGAAGTAAATGGAAAAGCATCCGATGTCCCCCGGATACTGGGAATGCAGCCGCAGCAGCAGTTCTCCATTACTTCCAGAGGTGTCTTTGCCTGCAGCCTCTGGAACAAAAGAACAGGTCAGACGAGTTTCATCTGAATTGATGCGATAGAGCCGGTATAACGTGAATAACATGTTAGCACACGAGGGAGTGGAAGTCCTGCACGGTTTCCTCTCACCTTCCTCTGAGATGCGTTTGACCAGCATGTTGAGCTGATCAACGAACAGCTTCTTCTCACAGTTCATCATCCTGGTGAAACATTTCTTCAGAGCGAGAGACGTCCGGCCCGGGTCTCCATCGGCGCTCTGGAGCTCCTCAGCGGCTTCGTTACCGACCAGCGCGCGGAACTCTGGGACATCTGAAAAACCATGCAGTGGTCCATGGGAAATGCTCTTTGCAACCCATTTAACTTCTCTAATGTGACATATTTCCAAGTGTTGGAATATTTAAAGGGGTCATCGGATGCCCACTTTCCATAAGTTGATATAATTCTTTAGGGCCTTAATGAAAAGTCTATAACATACTTTGGTTAAAATTTCTCAATGGTAGTGTAAAACAACACCCTTTTTACCCTGTCAAAAACATCTCTGCACACAGCGACCCGTTTTAGTGCATGTTTCTTTAAATGCTAATGAGCTCTGCTGGCCCCGCCCCTCTATTCCGTTGGGTGACAAGCCGTTCTCATGAGACTGTTTACTTTAGCCGCGGAACTGAGGAACTTGCTAACTAGCACGATATTAGGAAATGAGATTTGCAAAGATTCATAAAATAACTGTATACTCACTTCTGTAGTAGGTGAAGCTGGATCACGAATGATTCGTGTGAACATAAACGCATTTATGTAGATCGGGGGCGCATTCCCTTCAAAAATAAACGTATTCCACTGCGTCTTCAGCGGCTCAGATGTCGGGAGTAAATGACAACTGCTTTGTTCATTATTACGTCCAACAACAGAACACCTCAATCACTTAGGAGTCATTCTTGTCTACATCTGCTCCGGCGGTGAAACAATGCAGCTCACTCACTCAGGGCGGAGCTAAGGTAAAACAATCGTGGGAGGGGCCTGGGTCTGTGTGACATCACACTGACAGGCATCTGAGAACGGCTTGATTTGAGAAAGGGGATATTATTTATAGGGATAAAAAAAAACACTGGGTGGATTTTTATCATTTATAGGGTGGTTGTGTACACACACTGCCAACACACATTTAAGTTCAAACAACTTGTAAAAGTGCATGTCGCATCCAATGACCCCTTTAAAGAGAAAAAATAATAATAACAGCATAAATAGGATTCATTTTTGAGTTTGGCTTATCTGACAGTTTTTTTCAGTCAGTTCATTGAACACTTACTTTTGAGGAAGCCCAAGATTTCATCCATCGTCCGAAAGCCGCAGAGACCTTCAAACTGAGTGAGAGCGATGGCCATCTCTGGTTTGTGGTTGTTGTCTGGGTAATGTTCAGGAAACTGTGCATGGAGTCTAGCAGCCAATTCCTGTCAGTTAACAACAATTAATGAACAGCATTTATTACAGATATAAATCGTTTCTAACAGTATAAGTCTTTACTATTACTTTTTTTTCAATTTAACACATTGCTGAATAAAAGTATTAATTTCTTGCAAAAAAATTTACTGACCCTAAAGATATGTGTATTGTTACAAAAGTTTTATATTATCAATAAATGCTGTTCCTTTTAACTTTTTATTCATCAGAAAATCCTGAAAAAAGTATCACATGTTCCAAAAAATAATAATTCAGCACAACTTTTTCCAACATTTATAATAAATCAGCATATTAGAATGATTTCTGAAGGATCATGTGACACTGAAGACTGGAGTAATGATGCTGAAAATACAGCTTTGATCACATGAATAAATTATTATTTAAAGTATATTAAAATAGAAAACCGTTATTTTAAATAGCAATAATAATTCAGAAAGTTACTGTTTTTTCTGTATTTTTGTTCAAATAAATAAAGCCTTGATGAGCAGAAGAGACGTAGTACTTAAAAATTAACTTAAAAAACATAAAAATGTTACTGATCTCAAACGGCATGTGTATATACACACTACCGGTCAAAAGTTTGGGATCAGTAAGACTTGTCTGATACCGCTTTCGATTGCGCGCTCTCATTTTACTTTCACTTTCACAAGGACTCTATACTACGGAGCGGCAGTACTTACCACACATTTGATACGATTAGATGTTTGTCATTGGTGGTGTCCTCTGGGATATCCTGTTGTCTTTGATGAGAGCATCTCCTTTGGGGTGAGCACCCATCCAAAGCTTGAAAGAAAACAAAGATGTAATGATCACACAATTGTATATATATACACACACACACACACACAGTATATACATATATATATATACACCAAAAACTTAATTTGAGAATGTCAAAAAAGCTCCTTTAAGATGGTTATTTATACAACAGTAAAACATGTTAACACATCTGAGCACATGCTGTGGCTTTATTAATAGACTGACACATGAAGTGAATGTCACGCTGACCTTTAAGTGAGCTGCTATTATCGGAGACATTTGCGCTTGTGTTCAAGTCTGTTCAATAATGTGTACGGCAGCCGCACAATACACAAACGCACAGGATGAATCGTGATTGTTTATGGAACCTCCACAAGAGCTGTATAATACATGCTTTTTCTTTCCCAATCCCATGGCCATTGAAATGTCAAATTCTTTTTAATGTTTAATAGGTTTCAGAACGAACAATTTGTTGCTAGTTTACAAGTTAACATTATTGACATGGTCTCACTTTAAAAAAAAAAGGAATGCAAAGAAGTGAAATAACAAATGACCAAAGATTGGTAGGAAAAAAGCCAAGTGTTACAAAGAAATAATTAAAATAAATTTAAAATAACAAAAATAAATAAATAATTTCTAATTTTTTGAAATTAAGTGTTTTATTTTCATTGTTTTTTTATTATTGTAGGGTGTAAAAAATAATAATAATAACAATAATAATAAAGTTTGATTATCTCTGCATTATATTTAGTTTTTTATTACTGTTACTAATATATTAATGCTACTACTAATACTACTACTACCAATAATAATAACAACAAAGAAAATAGTAACAAAACAACAACAGCAATAGTATTATTATACATATATTGTACACTTGTTGCAACCTAGAATTAAACTGCTGGTCTCGTCTGGCACTCTATTTCGACACACTATTTCCCTTTTTTAATACTGTACAGCTGCTTTGACACAATCTGCATTGTAAAAAGTGCTATATAAATAACGGTGACTTGACTTGACACCAATTATACATGTATAATAATATTAATTATTATTATTATTATTAATAATAATAATAATATCAACATTAATGCTAATTATTAATATTATAGATATATTATTTTAATTATTAGTAGACAATAAAATTAATAGTTAATATTAATAATAATAATTATTATCATTGGGTGAACTATTCTCCAGGATATACAAAAAAACAGATTTCTCCGTAATTTATTTCATGACATTTCTAACAATCTGAAAGAATGTTGTATATAGCTAATCCATTCGTGTTGGAGCTTCTTGTCTTGGCCGAGAGTCTGGGTGGGTGTGTTTGGGTCAGCAGATAAAAATCCCTGCAGTAATCTGCTCAGCTTTTCAGGGCTGGTCCATACTGTACCTCCGCGTAGGGTCTGGCCTCCTCTATGAGAGCCTGAGGGTCTCCACCGAGCACCAGCCGGGCCACCTCACTGTCCAGACCCACTTTACCCCAGGCATAGCTCTGCACCACACAGCACAATGGAAACACTGCGAACAGACATGACAGACATCTGATCGGAAAAGACGCGTTCTGCTGCTGTCATTTAAATGAATGAACGGATGGCTGTGGATCTCATTGATGAGAAACGCTTACACGCTCAAATCCAGCAGCATCCAATAACTAATCCATCCAAACAACACACAAATCAACGACAGCCAGTCTTGTTTTAACTCGAGCCATTCGCGCCGTGTGGGACCGAATGTTGCGTAAAATACAGAGTGAACTGTACAGTCAGAGATTTAACTCACCTTTCACTTCCGCCATGTCTGCGACGTTGACGGTCACGTAGGTGACGTCACAGCCCGCCAACCAATCACGAGCCTTTAGATGTAAATAAACATTATTGATATTGTAAAAGAACTTTTTAATGCATATCTAGGCCATTCGGATTTCTTTAATCTGAAGTATATTCTGGAAGATTAAGTGAACAAATTTAATAGGTTAAATATATAATGCATAATTTTTATATTATAATTATAAATATATAATTATAATATTCAAGAATCGACTAAAAACACGTCTCTTCCATTTTTATTTGACCCTCTAACTCTAGCACTCTCTATTCTAATTCTATTCTTTAAAAAAAATTGCCCCGTTTAGACTTGCACTGTATTCATGAACTAACTGCTTGTTTTCTTACCAAAAATAAATAAATCAATTAACACTAGCTTCTCTATTCTTTTTCTATTCTATCTGTTTTCTTTTTATTTATTATATAATTTAAAAAAAACTTGCTATGTGTACTGCGCTAAGCTAACTGAGACTTGTTATAGTACTTGTATATCATTGCTCTTTTGTTGATTTTGATTGCTTCCATTGTCCTCATTTGTAAGTCGCTTTGGATAAAAGCATCTGCTAAATGACTAAATGTAAATATAAATAATTATTTTCATATTATAAAACAATAGAGAGAGAGAGAGAGAGATAACATTTCATTCAGTATAATTAAAACGAAGAGTATAAAGTACTTCAGTATTAAGTATAATAAACATTTAAACTATAAAATAAGTAAATGTAAAAAAAAATATTTTAATAATATTATATGCTATAACAGCCTTTTTGCTTTACACGTTTACAAAACAAGTACTACTGTATAAATTATGTTGGATGAAACTTGCTCAATAATATTAATAATTCTATAATACATGACATTGCCTTTTCCATCCTATCAAAATATTTGCAATACAACAATAATGCAAACATAACATATCAACATTTCAGTTTAAATAAGACAACGAATGAAGTGAAAAACGAATTGCAAATGAACACAATTGTAATAACAAACAAAAAATATCAATGCAACGTAGCAAAGAGCATTTGTTTGTATTTTTAACTATTAAAAACTATAAAAACGTATAACTTATAACCTATAAAATACATATTTCTTTATTATAATTATATTTCTATTCAAAATAATAGGAAGGATCCCGGATCCAGACCTGTTTTTAAAAAAAAAAAGTTTTTATATTTTCTATCACATTAAAAATAATCAATGAATAATTATTCAAACAAAATAAAAATTGAAATAAAACATGCAAAACTGAAATAAAACCACTGATAAAATAAAATAGAATAAATAAATAAACAAACAATGCGGATTTTTATAATAAAATAGGCTAAATTATCAATACAATTTACACAAAGTGCTAATATTTTAAAAAACTGTTTTTAGAAAATCTTTTCCATTAAAAAAAAAAAAGAGGTGGAATTTAAATTGACAATCAGAACATTTCATTTGTTAATACAATGTTTGCTATGCAAAATATTACAGTTTACCACATAAAACTAACAACCGTCTACGTCGCAGCGCACGCGCGTCACGCTCTCAGAGCGGAAGTGCAGAGAGGAAGCAGCAGCGATCGCAGCTCTGGTGCCGCTCAGTTTGGACTCTAAAGGCGGATAAAGCCCATAATAATGTCGGGATTTGACTCCAACCCGTTTGAAGATCCAGTCGACGTCAATCCCTTCCAGGTGAGGAACACGGGAGAAGCGCTTCGGAGGGGTTCGAGCTGAAGTTTGGGGGAGTTCAGCGGGGTTTGTGCTGATGATGGGGAGTTTTGGGTCAGATGAGTTCGGTCATCAGATGTCATGGTCGCTGCTGCGCTAGTTAGTTAGTTAGTTAGTTAGTTGTCGCTGGTGAAGGGTGGATCCGCGCAGGTTTGGTGACACGCTGAAGGCCAGAGCGCCACTCCTGTTAATGTCACAACCGAGTCGAGCTCTATAACTTTATAACTGCCTGCCCTGGATGAAGCTCTGTGAGTCACTGTGAGGCTCTGATCACCTGGGATTCTTCTTCATGCGCACTAAAGGCCGCATAATCAAGCTGAAATGCATTTAAAATAAACTCATATTTCTGAATATATTTGATCAGGACATGCTGGGCTGCCACTATGCTTTGTGCACAACAAGTGAAATAAGTGCATTTTCCATATTAAGTGAAAACAATAACTAACATGACAGATGATTAAAATATACAATGCAAAAGGTCAGGATCTCACCTCACACTTGTATATTTGACAAATAACTTGATTAAAAAAAAAAGTTATAAAATTCTAGGTTAAAATGTATGTAAATATAAAATGTGTGTGTGTGTGTATATATATATATATATATATTGTATATTGCATGTATATTACATGTTTTTTCTTTTGCATTTACACACACACACTTTTTGTGCAGTTAATTTCAATAAACTTGCTGTGTGACAAATGCACAATTTATAAAAGTAAAAACATGGAATGCAATAAAACAACAATAATAAACAAACATATATGTTGCATTATATAATAATTATGCATTATAGCATATATTATATTATATTATTCACTGGTCGGGATTTTTTACAGGGTATTTGACAAATGCACTTTTAATCAACATTACAAATTTAGATTAAAGTGTATGTGAATGTATTTGTAATTTAGGTGCATTTATGAATGTTTTTTCATTTTTTTAAAAATAAATCTGCAGTGTGAAAAATGCACAGTTTTTAAAAGTAAAAACATGGCATGCACTAAACAATAATAAACAAATATATACATTATATAATAATAAATTATATAAATGACATTGTATGTCATATTTCATGAGGTGTGGCATAATACTGATTGTTATGGCCCTGAAGAGATGCTCTGCAGATCACACTTGCACACAGTGTTTGTCTAATGCCGAGTTCACACTGCACGATTTTCAAAGTCGTCGGGTCACCAGTGTTTCAGTCTTACCATCGGTTGATCTGCTGATAAGGAATCTGAAGTTAAAGGTTCAGATATCTGAATGATCGCGGGTTAATACTCAGTAATCTCATTGACTAGGGCTGGGTATCGATTCAGATGTCCCGATTCGATTCGATTTTTTTGATTACATTCAGTGAATATAGTTTTAATACAAATGCTATTGATATTTCTAAAAAATGAACAGTAAACATCAGTTTACAAATAGTGAATTAATAAAAAGAAATTA